TTTTAAGAGATGGGTTTTCTCCATGTTGGCCAGGATGGTCTCGAACTCCTGACCTCAGGTAATCTGCCCACCTCAGCCTCCCAAAGTGCTGAGATTACAGGCGTGAGCCACCATGCCCAGCCTAAATTTACTTATTGAAAAAGTACTCTTACTGAGTTAAAAACTAAAGCCAACTATACATTGTTTAAAAGAGACATACCTAGGCAGGGCATGGTGGCTCACACCTGTAATCCCAGCACTTTGGGAGGCCAAGGTGGGCAGATCACTTGAGATCAGGAGTTCAAGACCAGCCTGGCCACCATGGTGAAACCCCAGCTCTACTAAAAATAAAAAAAGAGAATTAGCCAAGCAGGGTGGCACGTGCCTGTAATCCCAGCTACTTGGGAGGCTGAGGCAGGATAATGGCTTGAACCTGGGAGGCAGAGGTTGCAGTGAGCAGAGATCATGCCATTGCACTCCAGCCTGGGCCACAGAGTGAGACTGTGTCTCAGTAAATAAATAAATAAGTAAATGACACATATCTAATGCACAGCAGCTTAAAGATTGAAAGTAAAACAGTAAGTAAAGATAGTACAGATATTTGTACACCCATATTAATAGCAGCATTATTTACAATAGCCAAAAGTTGGAAACAACCCAATGTCCTTTGACAGATTCATGGATAAACAAAATATGGTAATATACATACAATGGGTTATTTTCAGCCTTAAAAAGGAATGAAATAGGCCAGGCACAGTGGCTCATGCTTGTAATCCCAGCATTGTGGGAGGCCGAGGCAGGCAAATCACTTGAGCCCAGCAGTTTGAGGCCAGCCTGAGCAACACGGCAAAACCCTGTCTCTACAGAAAATACAAAAATTAACCAGGTATGGTGGTGCATGCTTATAATTCCAGCTATTCAGGAGGCCGAGGCAAGTGGATTGCTGGAGCCCATGAACTGGAAGTTTCAGTGAACTGAGACCAGGTTACCGCACTCCAGTCTGGGTGACAGAGCAAGACCCTGTCTCAAAAAAAAAAAACAAAAAAAAGAATGAAATTCTGATACGTGTTACAAGATGGATGAAGCTTGACAATGAAAACATTATGCTAAGTAAGAGCCAGACACAAAAGGACAAATATCGTATGATTCCACTTATATGAGGTACCTAGAATAGTCAAGTCCATAGAGACAGAAAGCAGAATAATGGTGGGTGTCAGTGGCTGCGGGGAGAGGTAAATGGAGAGTAATTGTTTAAGGGGTATAGAGTTTCAGTTTGGAATGATGAAAAAGTTCTAGAGGTGATGGCGGTGATGGTTGCACAACAATGAATGTACTTGTTGCCACTGAGCTGCACACTTAAAAATGGTTAAAATGGCAAGTTTTATATATATATATATATATTTTACCACAATTTAAAAGAAGAAACACGAGGGAGGAGATCAGAACAGGAAAAACAGGTGAGCAAAGATATATCAGGCAAATGTAAACAAATAGAGCAGGAGTTGGGATGATAACAATATCGAGCAAAGTTGTATTCAAGGTAAAAAGCATGAAATGGAACACATTCACTTCAAATTCATCATCAGCACAACAGAATCACCTGTCATAACAGTACAGTACCCGTTTTTAGGGTGTGGTGATGATCAAGTGCAAAAGGAATTTCTATACGGAGCCCAAGAGGGGGACATCCCCACCAAGGTGACATGATCTGAGAAGGCAAGATTTTTTTTTTTTTTTTGAGACGGAGTCTTGCTCTGTCACCCAGGCTGTAGTGTAGTGGCGTGATCTCAGCTCACTGCAACCTCTGCCTCCTGTATTCAAGCAATTATTCTGCCTCAGTCTCCTGAGTGACTGGGACTACAGGCGCACGCCACCATACTCAGCAAAATTTTGTATTTTTTGTAGAGATGGGGGCAAGATTTTTAACCTTACCCCAAAGGACAGGAAGAATACTGCTACATAAAGTAAAAGGTAGCACAACATTGAAAAAGGTGGAAATTCAGACCGGCCCAAGCTTTACAATAATAGATTTCAAGCTTAGGTATTACTCGTTTAAGAAGTGTGTGTGGGGCTGGGCGCAGTGGCTCACACCTGCAATGCCAGGACTTTGGGAGGCCGAGGCGGGTGGATCACCTAAGGTCAGGAGTTCAAGACCAGCCTGGCCAACATGGTGAAACTCCATCTCTACTGAATATATAAAAATTAGCCGGGTGTGGTGGTGCGTGCCTATAATCCTAGCTACCTGGGAGGCTGAGGCAGGAGAATTGCTTGAACCTGGGAGGCAGAGGCTATAGTGAGCCAAGATCGTGCCACTGTACTCCAGCCTGGGTGACAGAGCAAGACTCTGTCTCAAATGAAGTGTGTGTGGGGAGGGAGTTATGCAGACCCATCTTTCCCCCAATTTAAAGTCCAGTCCAACCAGCACACTAGAGCTATTTCAATTTTGTTGTTTTTTCCCTGAGTAGGTGTCCTGTATTCCCAAATCCAGCCAGTTCTTCAGCGCCTCTCGTGACAGGATGGTCATGATGTGGGACTTGCACAATACATCGCAACCAAGGCAGCAACTGTGTGGCCATTCCATGGTGGTCACTGGATTGGCTGTGAGTCCAGGTAAAACAAAGCGGAGCTCTTCCCAACACCTTTGTACTTTCCGAAAACCCCCGTTCAGGTCCCTACTCACAGGCTGTCTTCTCACCATTGTTTCCGAAGACTCATCACAGCTGTGCACTGGCTCCCGGGACAACACCCTGCTTCTGTGGGATGTGGTGACAGGACAGACTGTGGAAAGAGCATCTGTCTCCAGGAACGTGGTATGAACTCAAACTCGGTACAGAACAGGGTGGCAGGAAGGAGCATGGGGTAAAGGAAAGGCCCCGGTGGAGGTGGGGGGAGAGATCAGGAGGCCCATGGGCAGGAATTAGAGCATGGGTCCCGATTGCTGTCCCCTAACCTGATGTGAGACCCTGGCCTCTCGGGGTTATTAGATTAGATGGTCCCTTGAGTCTTCTGCTCCAGACAATGATTTTACTCACTTATATTGGAATTTAAGAAGGTGTCTTCATTATTTCTTTTGTTATTCCATTTCTTCTGTGGGCCAGACAGTGTGCTAGGAACAGGTTTAGTGACCAAGGACATAGTTCCTGTCTTCTAGGAGCTCACAGCTTATGCTTATTGTATGTTCATATGTATAACATCATGAAGTAAGCGTTACCTTTTGCTTTATGTAGAATTTGCATTGCTTTTGAAGGACCAATTGTTTTCTAGTAGCAGATTATGGTATAAACTGCAGAGCCTTTAGAGTCAGTCATACCCAGGTTCAAATCATGGATCTATTATTTACGAGCTATGTTATCTCAAGGAAGTTACTTAATCTCTTAGAGTGTCTGTGTCTTCATTTATAAAATGGGGAGTGTTCTATTACCTGCTAAGGTTCTTCAGAGGCTGAATTGAGATACTGGATGTGAAATACCTGTCATTGTGCCTGACCCATAGTAAATGTTCTTTAGTGGTCATCAAATTTCAGTCCCAGTTATCTTTTCTAATTTTGAAGACCACTGCCAGTGGTCAGATCTGCTTGCCCCATGCCCTCTATGTTAGTGGAGGTTACTGGAAGTAAAGAGAATCCTGTTATTTTGGAAACAGTTTTTTTTTTTTTTTTTGAGACGGAGTTTCGCTCTTGTTACCCAGGCTGGAGTGTCAAATGAGGTAGTTTTAGGATAAAAATAA